TTTTTTTTGGTGAGACAGGGTCTTGCTCTGTCACACAGGCTGGAGTGCAGTGGCAATCATGACTCACTGCAGCCTTAATCTCCTGGGCTCAAATGATTCTCCCACTTCAGCCTCCCAAAATGTTGGCGTTATAGTTGTGAGCCACTGTACCCAGCCTCAATTTTTCTTACACAACCAAAAGCCCTGCCCTTCCATCTGGCAATTTTTCATTAAGATAAAACTATAGCATTGGCTAAATCAGCTGAAATTGGGTAATTACTGCACTTACACACAATGTATTTTTTTCCTTTCTAATGTCAATGCACAGGCAGATAGGTGTGTGAACATGATACAGTGCAGGCACCAGGATGCTGAGCCATTTAGCATTTCCCTGATGTCTGTTTAATAAAAGGGGGTTAGGAGCATCTGCTGAAGGCCGCTGTATTTCCTCTCATTTGGAATAAGAGGAGGTGATCAGGTGGGGCAGGTGCTGGACTGGGTCAAGAGCTCCAACCTCTAGAATTAACTCTGCTAAGTCACTTCCTGTGTGGCCTGTGGAAAAAACTCTTCTCTGCTTAGGGCCTCAGTTTCATCATCTCTGTAGGATAGGATGAGATTAGCCATGTGGGAGAGCCTCGGAGAGTATGAGCTGCATATTTCCTGTAACTATCTGACCACTTTAGATCCTTCAAATTAGGCTCTACCTACCCGTCTGCTCATACAGAATATCTTCCCATTGTCCAAGGAGTCGTTTTAAATTAAACAAGGCAACTGGCTCTTTCAGTATTTTCAGGATAATTTAATCCCCCTATTTTGCTTTGCTTTCAATAAAAGCAAGGCTCCATTTTTTACCTTTTAAAAATTATGTTTATTGAAAGGAGACTTCACAACTAGTTTTTGATGTAATCTGTAGTTTTTAACAAAATAATAGTGCCACAGCATGATCTCCAGCCCGAATGATCTTATATGAACACTTTGTGAAAATTAAGAGAAAAAATAGGCATTGAGAGAAAAGCACGTCATATCACACGGCCAGGCACAGTTCAGGTGGGTGTGGGCATCTGTGTGATCGAAGAAGAGGGGGAGGTAAGGCTTCCTGAAAAAGAGGAGGGGCCACAACGTTCCCTATCTCAGCAGCATTTCCAGGGGTTCTGATATGCTTTTGCCTCTTTCTCACTGCTGGGACATGCACTAACTGGAGTCATTACTGTCAGCATCTGAGGACGTTTTAACTAAACCACTCATTCTCCAGACAAATGAGAAGCTGCATGTTTTCATTTGGAAATTGGGATTTTGTAAGATACATGGAGGCCAAAAAGCAAGTCCAGGCAGAGTTTATGAGAGCCGGGCTGTCCCTGGTTGCCTCCTAGAGAAAAGCTCCATGCTTTGCTTCTCCATCCCAGCCCCGGGCTCAGTCTCTTACCTCGGTGACGATGGAGGAGCCAGGCGTCTCGTACACCCAGCCGTCTCGGCAGGGGCCCAGCGGCAGGCGGCTCCTGTTGGTGGCGAGGCTGGCCAGGGGGTCCACGCAGCCGAGGGCGCTCTGGTTCCAGTCCACCTCGTAGCGCCTGCACTGGCCTGGGGAGGCCTCGCCCGCGGGCCCCGGGCCAGGCACCGTGTAGTTGAGCTCCTCTGCGGGGCTCCAGCCGCAGCGAAGGCTCAGCTCGGCCACCCCGGGGCTCCGGCAGCGGTGGTCAGGGGTGAAGCCCAGGAAGACGATGCCCACGTAGATGGGCGTGAAGGCAACTGAGAGCAGCGCCAAGAGGAAAAACATTTGCTTCTGGAAAAAGTGAAACTCCCCTGCGTGCTCCAGGGCATCGTCCACGGTGGGCATGATCCCGCAGGCAGGCGGGCAGGAGGCTGCCCCAGCTGCCCGGAGCGAGGCTGAGAGCGGCTGCAGCCAGCTCAGCACAAACCCTGGCCAGAAGTCAAAGCGGGGAGTTTACCTCTGCAAGTGACCAGCCTTCGGGGCAGGCCTTTCTTGGTCCCGCTGACTTCAAAGGTGCACCCCTCCAGCGGTTCCCAGATGCCCTGAGCTCACTCCCAGGATGCCTGTCGTGTTTATTGTAACAGGGTCTCCGCAGGCTTGTCGGTGCTCCACGCCAGCAGCACAAACAACCCTTCCTCTGTGTCCCACCGCAGGGAATCCGAGTGCTGGCCCCTACCACAGCCCAGTGACCTTCCCGTAGAGCCCCAAGCAGCCAGGAACTTAATATACTCCTGTCTCACGCACACCCCCAGCCTTTCCTTCAAGGCGCTAAGGAGAAAACGCACGTGTTTGGCCACAAGGCCCAGGGCGATGTGAATCAGGATCTGGGTCAGAACCCTGGTCCAAATTCAAAGTGGGTTGCAAGTCTAACCACTAGGCTCATTCTCCAGCCAACAAGTGCCGTCAGGATGTATTTTGGGGCTGCTTGTTTTGACGCTGTTCAGATTTTTAATTCCGCATTTTCAGTGTTTGCTCCAATCTGGAATTCCTGCGTTTCATCCCTGAAGGGTCCCTCCCCTTAACCCATCCGAGAGAAAGAGTAAAGTGCTCACGTCGCAGAAAGGTCACGTGTAAATGCAGGCAGGTGTATCCACGCCACTGTCCTCTCGTCCTGGATTTTTCTGTCTGGGTTTGTTGGGGCTAAGGAATCCATGCCCCATTGTGAAGGCCTCAGAAGTGATGTCTCTCTCTGACCTTCTGCCCTCCTGTCTCTCACCAGCCATTCTTTCCCCGGGCAAGCCATAGAAGCGAGAATCCTTCTTCACCAGATCAGCTCACAGGAACCAGACTCTTTTTTTCCCCAAAGCTGTGTATCTTTTTGGCCTCCGTGTATCTTACAAAATCTAGCCAGAAACCCAGAAATCACTGTAACTTCCCTGCTGCCTTTCTGTGTAACAGTGAGCTGTACAGAAATCCAGACCTGCATTCCAGAGGGGTCCTGCCCCTGATGCCTGGAGAAAGGGTTACTGCACAGAGAGGCCAGGAAGAATCTGAACAGACAGGTCTTCCTGAGTTTTCCTCCAGTCTATGAACATGAGCTCCCACCTTTTGTGCTATGCTGCCATCCACAGCTTTCCCTGTATCTTTGGGTCTTCGTTCTGAAGGCTCTTGTGTCACGTGAAACTGTGATCAAATAAATGTGTCCTGCTTTTGTCTTGTTAACCTGTCCTGTTATAGGGTTGTTGGCTGTGAGCCTTAGGAGGAGGAGGAAAGGGATCACCCCCTTTCTGCTCTCATAGGTCAGGGGTGTCTTTAGGTTGGTGTTGGTTGCAAGACAAACAGGAAATTTGTCTTTTCTGGTGGACGAAAGGATCCTTACTACATTGTGATCCTGCCAAGTAGAGAAGGTGGCCTGCTGACATATCTGCAGACTAAATACCAGAAAGTTAACCCAATTTTCCTTCTTCTTCTTTATCGTATTGAGTAGTCAGTGGGTGTAATAACATAGTCTAAAAGGAGTGACCTGCAGTGGTCTTTCTTCTTGCGGCAGCTGCAGGCTTCTTGTTTTCTTAAAAAAGCAGGGTGCCGGCAATGACATCCATTAACTTCCACTGCAGCTATGTCGGGCACACAGAGGCGCTCTGCTGCATGGCACCCTGGGCCACTGCCAGCCCCATTTGCTCTGAGCTGAATGAGGGGGCTCAGATCTGTTTAGGGACTTCCCAGTTGCAGCCAGCATCATGAGTGCATGAGCCAGTAGCCAAGGCTGCTCTGTCTGCACCGATTCCCCGTCAAGGAGCTGTAGGAGGGGGAGTTAAAGAGTTAAAAAGTGACAGAGGTTGTTAAACTTTACTCCACTCCAGGGGCCCAGAGATGCTCCTGACTGCCTCTTACAAGAAATTTACAGACACGTGCCCTTGGGTTTTACTCACTGATATGATCCATGTCAAGACATCAGATCATGTCATGAGCAAGGGGCACTAGGTAAGGGCCAGAAGAGCATTGCTGGCCAATGGGAAGCAATGTTGAAATTCACTATGAATTAGTTAGGGGGAACAATCAGATAAGAAGTTCAGACCTCAGGTTGCTTACAGCAATGCATTTACACTGTCACTCAACATTATTCCATGGATGAACGAGTCACAGCACAGCTGCCATAAAATCAACACCATTAGGTGACTGCCCCTACAGCGAAGCCACACCAGCAGTGGGTAACTCAGAGAAAGAAGCCACAGAAAGGAGGGGTAGACAGCCTACAGTTTAGGAAATTGTCACCTCATTTATGGGGGCGCTTACATATTCAGAAGCATGACTGGAGTATAATCTGATCATTTAATCCATATAATCTGGTAATATAATTAATGTAAAAGTATTTCTCAATCACTTATCAGGTTTCTCTGCAAGGTAAATAAATATTGCCGCAGTGTACAATCCTCTGTGCAGTACTAAGGAAGGCCGGTTGTTCCCAGACTAGCTTTCTCGGCCCCCCCCCCCCCAACAAGAGGACAAGGGGACAGTTAGGGTGGGAAGTTCGAGTAGATGAATCCTTTCTACCCCGTGGCAAGCCAGGCATCAGGTGCTTAAAGGATGATAGGGCAAAAGCAGTGAGACCCATCAGCAATGGAACGTAGGCTTTTGGGCCATTTGTTAAGCAAGATTATTGATTTGGTAATCAATATCTGGTCTATTGAGGTCCATGCAACCCATTTGGCTAAGTTGACATCTACCTGAGGCAAAAATGATTGAAATAGATTGCCTGACAGTGATGGGTGCCATCTGTCCTCTATGCAACTAAGGGGGAAAAGCAGTGGGACCAGAGGGGAGGGTCAGCAGAGCCCGGACTGTAGTCCAGCCTGGCCCTAATGTATCCGTGTCACCTGGGCAAGCTCTGATACCTCTTGTAAAAAGGCCATTATCCCTAAGTCAGAGTGCTGATGGATGAGATCACATAGGACTGTTACTGAGCACAGTGGCTTCAATAGTTGGAAGTCATTCACAGAGACACTTTCAACCTCTGTTCCTCCCTTGTTTTCTTCACTGTGTGCCCCATCCATCCATCACATGCTTTGGTCTTCTTCCTCAGCTCCATGCCGCCCACTTGCGTCATTGCAGGGTGGGCTTGGTATAGGGCTTCTGGCCAGGAACAGCAGCAGGTGATCTGCATTGACCCAAACTTGTGGATCTCAGAGTCTCCCAGAGGGAAGGCAGCTTAGAGGACAGCAGGCAGCCCCACCTGACACTTTGATTCCTCAATACCTGTCCCAAGTAGTTGCACAGAAATGCTTTCAGTATTGGCTGAATCCAGGCTGCTGTTGGACTTCACAGATTGCTGGAAAGATCATCCTCGTAGTGCAACAGGATTCTTCTCCTAGAACTTTTCACACATTTGGACGTTATTTTCTCTTTTGGCGTCAGGTTGATTAAGTTAAAACCTTCTTACACAGAACTTCGGATATTTGAAGCTAACGTTTACATTTAACTCGGACTCTTGTCTTTTCAGAATAAATGTCCCCAGCTCCCCACATAGCGGACCTGCTTTTCTCACCACCACCAGGGGCAGCCCTGAGCTCTGTTTTGGTCTATCTCGCCTCCAGGAGAGGAGTCTGGGGCTTGGCATGTCACTTGGGCGGGTTTCCCGGGTGCACTGTAGAGCCAGCGGTTATCTCCTCATGCAGGGCTGGGGCTAATATCCTCAGTGAGTTCAGCGTGCAGAAGGCAATGCAAAACCACTACCATCACCATCCCACTGAGTGGGGCTTCCAAGAGGGCTGACCAGAACTCTCCTTGGGCCTTATTCATCAGTGTATTTCTGATTTTATTCATTTATCTTTATTGGTTCTATTTTCCCTACAAAGTGATAGCTCTGTGCTGATTTCCTCTGAGCCAGGAAATTGGAATTATCCTGGTGATGAGAGGAGGGGGCATCATCGGGGGAGGAGGAGGCATGAGGGTGGCTCATCCGCCCCTCCCGTGGATCCCTCTCTACTTTCCTTTTATACTCCCAGTCTTGACACCAAGCCTGTAGCTCTAGAGATCACAAAAGACTGGGCTCTGTTCTCTAAAAGACAAAGCATGAGCCTAACACAAAACCACAGAGACCACCCAACGGACTTCATGGATGTAATTTTGAAGAGCTCTGGGGAATCATTTTGTAAAAAACCCAGACTGCTAAGTACTAAGTTTTTTTCCTGTCAGATATTTATTTTTAAAGGCTGTGTTATTACTCTATGTAAAGTTAAGTGCAAATATTTGGTTTGACCCTAGGCTTCCAGGTTAGCGATGGGGTTTAGGACACGCCACCCCAAAATTCAGAACCTTGGCATTTGAGAAAACAGCAGAGGCAGAAAGATCTTTCACCTTCCACGTTTTTCTCCCCTGAGGCAGGTCAGTCATAGGACCTCGGTTTGAGACGTGCCCTCCTGATACCTGGAGGAAAGAAGCATCCTTGTCTCTGAAGACACATGAACACAGAGAAGAGCCTGAACAAACACACCTTGCTAAGTTTCCCCCAGTTTATTGGCGTTGGATCACACCCTGTTTGTGCAATCACACTTCCCCACACTGTCCACTCTTCACCAACCTAAGCTTAAAAATATTCAGATTTCCCTGTTTCTTTAGGCCTTCACTTGTGAAGGCTCTGCTGTCTTGTAAAACATGGATAAATGTGTATGATTTTCCTTTGTTAATCTGTCTCACATTAGCAGGAGCCACAGCTATGCATCTAGCCAGGGGTGAGAAAAAGCTGTTTTCTCCTTCCCCTTCCATGAGGGTAAGCATGCCTCATGGATATGAGGCTGCAGGCCCAGTGCCAGGTGTGAGGCTCATGCCTATCATCCCAGTGCTTTGAGAGGCCAACGTGGGAGGATTGCTTGAGCCCAGGAGTTCAAGACCAGCCTGGGAAACATAGTGAGACCTTACTCCTTAAAAATAAAATAAAATAAAATAAAATAAAAACATGCCACAGAACCTCACTACTCCGAACTCTTGGGTCTGGCAATCCTGGACCTTCACATTGGTTTGTTTGCCAAAGCAAAGTTCTTATTAATATCCAAATACAGTTTGAGTTTTCTTGGGCATTTATCCTCTCCAGAAACCCAGGAGTGTGTCAACTTCTTGACTGCATTGCTTTCTTCAAACAGAGAGTGAATCCAAGTAGAGACAGAGAGGATGTCCTTTATGTATCCCACAGAGGCCTCCCAGAGAACGGTAAGAGAAGA